GGAGAGGGAGAGAGAGAGAGAGAGAGAGAGAGAGAGAGAGAGAGAGAGAGAGAGAGACAGAGACTAGGCATGGGGACACCCCAAGTCCGGAGGAGGTGGAGCCACGAGGATCAGGAATTTAAGTTCATCCTTTGCTACACAATGCATTCCAGGCTAGCCTGGGCTACATGAGACCTTGTCACAAAACAAAACTCAGAACTAATTAATTCTCCTTCAGTTCTTTTGTTTGCTCATTAGTTTGTTTTTTTCTTTGTTTTGGTTTGTTTGCTTTTCCAGTCAGGGTTTCTCTGTGTAGCCCTGGCTGTCCCGGATCTCATTCTGTAGACCAGGCTGGCCTCGAACTCACAGAGATCCTCCTGGCTCTATCTCTGGAGTGCTGGGAGTAAAGGTGTGCGCCACCACCATCACCTCAGTTCTTTATTATTTCTTTTTAAAGATTTATTTATTTATTATGTATACAGTGTTCTGCCTGCACATATTCCTGCAGGCCAGAAGAGGGCGCCAGATCTCATCACAGATGGTTGTGAGCCACCATGTGGTTGCTGGGAATTGAACTCAGGTCCTCTGGAAGAGCAGTCAGTGCTCTAAACCTCTGAGCCATCTCTCCAGCCCACCATCTCAGTTCTTTATTTTATTTTATTATTTATTTATTTTGTTTGTTTGTTTTTTCGAGACAGGGTTTCTCTGTGTAGCTTTGCGCCTTTCCTGGAACTCGCTTTGTAGCCCAGGCTGGCCTCGAACTCACAGAGATCCGCCTGCCTCTGCCCCCCGAGTGCGGGGGTTAAAGGCGTGCGCCACCACCGCCCGGCCCACCCCAGTTCTTAAGCGGAGGTCTGGCGTTGGTACCCGCCTCCTCCCAAGCTCCGGGAGGCCTCCCCGACTCTGGCTGTCCCTGTCGGTCCTGGCCTGCTGTTCTGTCTCCGCCTCCGTCCGTCTGTCACACAGCGCGGTCCTAGGCCTGTGTCAACTTTCCTTTTCTCGAAAGAACACTCTCTCTTGGCCCAGTGCCCGCTCTGCCCCTACATGACCTCATCGGAGTTGATTACACCCACCAGCACCCTGATTCCTAATACGGTCATGCCTGGAGGTTCTGGGGTGAGGGCTGGGACACATGGGGGGGGCACCATTCATTGGCGGTGCATGTGTGTGCTGAGCTGTGCAAGCCTTAAAGACACTCTTACTGTCTCATTAATTAAAGAGAGCCCTCCCCGCCGTATCTTCCCCAGACGAGCCAGAGTTATCCGAGACGGTCCCTGCGACATCCAACAGCTGAATAGTGAACGCATGGTCAACCGGGAAGCAGGCCGGGCTGGCCTCCCCGGTGACTCACCACAGCCTGGGGCACAGGGACAGTCCAGGGACACACTGGAGTATTACTCAGCCGCGAAGAGAACGTGCCCCACAGTGTCACGGTGCTCAGAGAGTGAGCCAGGCATAAAAAGCCACGGTGTGACCTGTGTGACCGGAAGTGTCCAGGTCAGGTGGCTCCCTGGACCAGCCGTGGATGACCGGAGGCTGCAGACCTGGTGCAGGAGGCTGCAGACCTGGTGCAGGAGGCTGCAGACCTGGTGCAGGCCGGGCTCGCTCTGGGGGGGTTAGAGCTAGACAGAGCGGACGCTGGAGGACCCCGTGAGGCGCTGTTTCCCAAGGGCTCAGACAGTGACATTCCCGAGAGGTGGACTGCACCCAGCCTGGAAACCGGGCTGGATGAACCGAGTGGCCTCAGGAGGGACGCACGGGTGGATGGGAGACCCCAGCCCAGCCCGGACTCAGTTTCCCCACCTGGTAACAGGATGGTGAAGGACCTGAGACCCTCGGCCAGAGCTAGAAAGGCTGGCGGGGCCACCGCAGCTGGAGAATCACGGAGAAGGCCGGGCCCGCGCCCCCAAGCCACGAAAACCAACTGCGTGCAAACCCCACCTGTTTTCATTTACATTTATTGAAAAGTCCGGATTGGGCGGTGGGAGGCGCCGGGGTGGGGGTTGTACTGCAGCCCCCCCCTGGCCGCCGTGGCACCCCGCGCCTGCGCAGTGGGTCCCCGGGCCCTGCGGCGAGCGCCCTGGAGTCGTGCTCTGCCCCGGGGTGGGGTGTCTGCCCCGGGGTGGGGTGTCTCCGTTCCCCTCCCGCGAGGCAGCCTGGGAGCCTAGGGTTCGAAGCTAAAGGGATGCCGTTGAGGATTCTCTGGGGGTTAGGTCTGCAGATCCACGGTGCAGCACGGGCGCGGCCCCACCGGGGACCCCAGCTTCCTCCTGGGTGGGTGGGGAGGGGCGTCTGCCGGTCCCAGAGGCGTCACAGGTGCTCGCTGTGGGACAGACGGGGTGAGGGAGACGGCGAGGCGGAGCCCAGTGCCCCCGGCCCGGCCCGGCCACCCCACGCCCCGGGCAACCCGCCCCGGCCACACCCCCACACTCCGGCCCCGCCCCCGACCACACCGGGCCCGGCCACACCCCCACACCCCGGCCCAGCCACACCCCGGCCACACCCACCCCGGCCCCACCTCCGCCCCCACGCCCCGCCCCCGCACCTGGCCACCCGCGCCAGGATCTCCTTGACGCGCGCGATCAGTCTCTCGTGCTGCGCGGGGTCACGCTCGATGGCTCCGTGCAGCCGCGCCATGTAGAAGTCCAGAGTCCCGAGCGTCGGCGTCTCCCCGGTGCCTGCGGGTCAGCGGGTCAGTGAGGGGCGGGGCCGGGCTCAGGGCGGGGCCAGGGAATGGCGTGGCGGAGGGGGCGGGGCTCGTGATGGGAAAGGACGGGGCGGGCCGAACACTGGGAGGGCGGGTCCTGTGGGCGGGGCTGAGGCCAGGTGGGCGGGGCCGGGGAAATCAGCTCGGCTGAGCCCTCAAAGAAGGCGGGCTGTGGGCGGGGCCGAGGCCAGATGGGCGGGGCCGGGAAATCAGCAGGGCAGAGCCTCAAAGAAGGCGGGCTGTGGGCGGGGCCGCGCACCGGGCACCGGCAGGGAGGCGAAGCTGGCGGTGAGCGCCTGCCTCACGGCCTGCAGTTGCTGCTGCAGCGCCAGCGTGCGCCGCTCCTCCAACGCCAGCTCCTGCTCCAGACGCTCGCGTGCGCTGCTCATGCTCTGCGTGTGGCGCTGCAGCACCGCGTTCTGCTCCTCGAAGGCCACGTTCATCTTCCGCAGGCGCCGCAACTCCGCCTCGCGGGCTGCGGGACGGGAGTCAGAGCCCAGGGCTGTCCCGGGGCCACCGCGCAGTCCCGGAGGGCGCTACACGCCCCCCCATCCCTGACCCCATCTCCCCCATCCTGGCTCCACTCCCCCCTCCATCCCTGGCCTCGCTCTTGACCCCGTTCTCGTCCATCCCTATCACTGGCCCTATCTCCCCTCCAGCCCTGACCCCATCCCCCTCCAGCCTGACCCCATGCATCCCCTCCAGCCCTGACCCCATCCCCCTCCAGCCCTGACCCCAT